AGTCGTTGGTGGCAGCCTATGGTTTCCTTCAACTTTAAAAAGGACCAAATGCATGCCTCCTAATCCTGTTAACATCAAGTTATTAAAGTTAAACCTTTGCATGTGGCTAAGAAGGTCAAGTGCTTGGTTGTTTGCCTAACCTGTGTAGATAAAACAAATAAAATTTGAGCTTACCAATAGAAGAACTAATCGCGTTCAAATTGCATAGGGTGTCACATTGCTCTTGCTGGGCCTGCCCGTGACTAACTAGATACTCAGTTGGCTTTGGTGTATCTTGTTTACCATTTGGCATGGGTACAGCATTCAGTTCCTCTTGGGTAAACTCCAATTCTGAATCACGCTCTATGCGAAGAAGTTCAGACATATGCTTGACAAAATCTTCAATTTTAGCTTGCATTGCTTTAGCCTTCTCCAACTCCATCCCCATACCACTATGGATAGGCCTGGACTGGGGTGTCTTCCGAACTGCTGCTCGATGCTGTGCTGCATATAGGATAATGTAAGTTGCCTGGTTAATTACAAGTACAAGGAAAGAAGCTAGAAACAAAAGCCATATTAAGAAGTCAAGAGTTCAACAAGCAAGGCATCATAATTCACATATTACAGAGTATGCAAAAGCATCTCATCTTGCCTTTCTTTTGCTGTAGTAGTCAATCTGAAGAAATATGAATCTAGTTGTTTGTTTAAAGATGTTCAAACTCATTTGTACAGGTGTACCCACTAAAATGGAAAAGCTCCCCGATAGGATAGCTCATCCAGAGAATCTTTCTAAATAGATTTGTTGATCTGGATAATTTGGTGTGATTGAAGTAACACGAGGAGTATTTCTACAATTAGTTTTGAGCCAACCACTGGGTTTTCTGGACACAGAAAGCATGATGCAGATCAAGTGTAACACACAAAATCCTTGGAACCTCAATGCGGTATGGAGTCACCATCAAAATTAAATTGACAAAATTAGTATATGTTTAGATCAATAGATGCACAAACACACACAAGCTGATCAATAACTGGAAAGAATCAGAGAGAACTTTTTTTTTTTCCATTTAGCACTAATTTGCAAGCGGCTCATTGTTTTCTTTATAACTTAACATCTAAAATTAGTATATGCAGAAACCTAAGGAAATAGTAATATGTCCAGAGTTAACAAAGTTAATAAGGAGGGTGAGATTTTGTTCAAATTGAAATGTACTGGTCATATACATCAAATGAGATAATTAACGCAGTTCTGCTCTCCTTGAGAATTGTACTTAAATCTGCATGGAAGTCTGGATAACTCTGTTAATTCAAGTGGCTTGCAAAATTATTGAACAAGGAGTTAAAATGCCTTAAGACAAAAATTTAAGCCAAAATAAGATCTATTAAGTTATGAGATTATATCTATAAACTGCACAGAAACTAAACATTCAGATCTGCACATCCAAATATTTATGTGGGGTCAGCTTCAGAGTATGAACCCTAATGGTTAGAGAACACCTGGCAATGTTTGAACCTAAAAGCAGCCTGCATCTATCATTGTCAATTTTTCAGCTCAAACCAACCAGTGCAAGAAAATGGTTGCCAGCATAACTTGAAATATCAGTATCTCTACCATTTAATATTCTCCAACAAAATCAATAAGTTCAAGAGGGAAAAAGTACTACTACATCACATACTAATCTGCTTCAACATTCAGGCCCAAGCCATCTCAGAAAACAAACCAGGCTCTTGCTTGGGCATACATAAGCATGATACAATTCTATAGTCATAAGCTTTCAAGTTTCCAGTGTTTCACATATTCAAGGCATTTTGTTTTTCAAAAACAATGATCGAATCTTAAAGCTAATAATTTTATAAGAATACAGTAGATGAACCACAGATATAAATTAATGATTATTAGATTTGGCAGAATTTTACTTAAGTATCTAGCAAATAAATATGAAGATGATGCAATAAGGAAAAGTTGGAAGTCTGAAAGAACTTTAAATAAGGTATATAGAAGTACAGAACTCATAAAAATACAGATTTTCTATCAGAAAAGTAAGTCTCTCCTGACCTGAGGGAATTAAGCCACAAGAAATTGAATGTGTGCTGCCTATTCACAGAGGTAAATAAAATAATCTGGAACTGAGAGGGGAATGAATGACTACATGTGATAGCCATGTTGAGTGAGAGGTGGCAAGAATCTATGATTTTTAAGATGACAGCTCCGAGTGACAAAACAATGTGAACTTTTGTCATGTTGTATGAAAATTATAATTAAGAAGTTTAATAATTACCAAAATGGAAATTATCTAAACAGAATCATGGAGATGAATCTGAAAACCCATGTAACAGAGATGATCACAGCAAGTAGCAACAGTTGAAGCTTATGAACTAAGAATGCTTGGAGAAATTTGAAAGACCTTATCTCTGGCTAATTTAATACAAAGTTAATTCACCTCCCTAGAAGTAACTAATTAAGAGCCATTTCTTCATCCCCTTCTAAAGAAGGAAGTTCATTGTGACGACCAAATTACAGGCTAGGCAATCTTATAAAAGGTAGATGACTCACGACATCTATGTTTGTCAAAGCTCCATTAGCTTAATTCTTCTTTACTGGTGGTGGCAATGCTTTATTTCTTTCTCCCCATTCCAGAATTTTGTGTCGAAAAGATCAAAGCTGACATGAATATGATAAATTAAGATACTTCAACAATACAAATCCTTAGACTTGGGTATGCACATTGTTCTCTTGTTACAAGGACCACTCTAAATTAGGTTCATTGATCTCTAAATTAGTGTAGTGTGACATGGAAAAAACAAATAAGTCGGTTATGATGTACAAATTTATATTTCCTCAGGTTGAGAATGCACCAACAATCTTATCTGCGCATTATTTATGGTCTCATCCCGATATCATATGAAAAAGGTACAACTGGGGTTTATCATGTTAGACCTGAATTCGCAATGTCCTTGAGGAGCTTCCAGGACTCCGTAGCACGCCAATCGCTGAAGATAGCCTGACACTGGAGATCCTGCAATACATCTCGGAGCTCGCGCTGAAAATGGTCAAAAAGGGTTGGGTAGTGGGTGCAGGCCTTGAAACAGAGGGCCTCAAGGCCTTTCGGCATTGGTACGGCATAGAGGTAGGGTTGGGCCTGGATAACGAAGGCAAGACCACCAATGGCTGCCCCTCCAGCACCACCGTCGGCCGGCGTGCCACCGATCGTGGGCAACCCCATGCGGTGCCTGAACTCCGAAAACTCGCCCTGGACCTCTGCGGAGGCGAAGTCGGAGGCCATGGAGCGCATGCCCTGGCTGATCCAGCGAACAACGCACTTGCCCAATTCCCGGCGCCCTAGTGGATCCCCGTTCTGGTAGAGGGTCCGGACGCTGATGGAAGCCTCCTCCAAGGAAGGTACGCACTCTTCACTCGTCCGTTTCACTACGACGACCGGCTTTTGCCGTTGGGGCCGACTTATTTTCTTTTTCCTGATGTTGCTACTTCCGCTTCTCCCACCACTGCTGCGCAAAAGATTCGATGATGGCCGTGGAGATGATTGTAGCCGAGGGCGAGGAAGAGGTGAGCCCGGGGTGGTGCTGCTATTACGAATGAGGAAGGGAATCGGAGAGGAGGAAACGGGACAAAGGGAGGCCTGAAGGAGACGAGAGGACGAACAAGTAAAGGTCCGCTTGAAGAGAATAGACGGTTGAAAGACGATGCTTGCGGTAAGAAACGCCTTGGGAACAGCTGCCGCTGCGGAGACTCCGCAACAGCAGCAGGCGGAGGAAGCGTGGGTGATGGCCTCCATCTCCCTCTTCGTGTCTTCGGTCGGGAGAGGAAGCGACGTGTAGAATGAGAGGAGGGAGAGAGCGAGAAGCAGTCCTACTCGGACAGCAGTACGTCGGAGATCAAATTAAGGAACCTTGATTTTTCTCCGCCTGAGGGTACAGGGGATCACATTAGTGTACCTTGATTTTTCCCCTTTTTTTTTCCCTTCTCTCTCTCTCTCTCTCTCTCTCTCTCGGAAGACCAGTCCTTGTCGAATCGGAGAGTTTGTAATTATTATGTGTGGTGAGGAAGAGGCTACGTGCGTGCGTACGTGCGTCCTACCGTCCCGCAGTGGTGGGCGGCTTCGCTCTTATTGTGGTCCGCGTTCCAGCAACGCTGCTAAAACTGCAGTGCACAAAATCTGCCATTACCGTTTCTGCACGGGTGCGTCTTATGCACCGAAATGAGCGACGATTTGGCCACGAGTCTCTCTCTCTCTCTCTCTCTCTCTTCCCCTGCCACAATTCTTCTGTGGCCAAAGCTAGCGCAAACGTCTGGCCGCAAAGGCCCTGAGACTGCATCTCTCCGTCGATGTCCTCTTCTGCGCGGGTACTGCGCAAGTCTCCCATAATTATACTCGTAGATGCACGTATAAGATGGCCGTCTCAAGGAGTGCTGAGCGGCCGTCATGCTGCACCCAAATATTAAAAAAGAAATCTACCACTCATGTTTATGCAAATCCTTCCTAAAGTACTTCTTACCCTCTAATAGCTTTTGCAGCTGCACCTAATCCCGCTGCCCATTGACTCCAGTTGAAATTATCGTACCCAGTAAACGTCAGCTTTTTATTAATAATCAGCCAACCAGCGTCAGTGAATGGCGCAGCATTTTTCACATGATCCGCGCTACATAATGTGTGTCTGTGACTCGACGCGCGTAACATATGCTTTTACGTCGTTCTAAAACATAAAAGTCATTTTATGTTGTTAACTAACTATGGAGATTTTACAAGGCCACCGAGTCCCAGATCTCTCACTTGGGTGGATCCAAATGAGCCTTTCTGGTTTTTATTTTTCATTGGTCTCGGCGTAAAATCTGTCGAAAGTATATCCCCTCAGGGTACTGAAATATTCATGAACGGCATGATCACGATATTGATGACGAAAAAGCCACTTCAAATGAGATGCAGAAAAATGATCCTAGAATGATGCATCAGTACTATAAAGAAACAGGGATTGAACAAAGTCCATGGATATTACACCACGAATGGCAGACGAAATTTCTGTTTGTTACATGCCAACAGTATGTAATTCACAAATATTACCTGCAAGTTTATCAATAGGTTCATGTATATTCCTTGTAAAGATTTAGTTGCTCCAAAACTCAAACTCTGGCAACTGGGAAAAAGATTACAGAATGAAAAGACAAAAGCCTCATGACAGGATCAAACCTCAAATTTCTAAAATGGTTTTTATCTGATCTGGTGAATGTCTCACCAAGGACCTAGGATCAGGGTATTTATTCTTAGGGTCAACGACTGCCTTGTAGAGGAGCTCATAACCATCTGCTAGTGCCCTTGCAACACGGATGGATGCATCAGAACGCAACCTAGGAAGTTGTAATTGTTCAAATTCTGGGAGCAAACCTTCAGTTCCAGTGACCAGACCAAAAAATGTCCTTAAGCTTTCAGATAGCACCAGAGGTGACATCTCAGGTGCCTGTGCTAAGGGTCCAGGCTCACTGTCAACTTCACTGGTAGAGTTCTGAATGTAAGATATCTTGCTCAACAACCCACATCTCGTTAGAATGGCATCTACTTCCATTTGCACAAGGATACTGACATTTGTGTCAATATCAGAGGTTATTTTATCCACATAATTTGCAGCAACCCCCTGGTCTACTAGTGCTTGCTGAATAGCTGACAAGCAGTTGATGAGGTATATTGTGCTTGACATTTCGGCACCCTGCAAGAGAGATTATGAAAACATTCAATACTGAGAACATATGTGACATACGAATGGACAATTTTTAAGAAGGTGACTTTGGTGTAATTACAAAGTACAATTATATGTAAACAACATTTAGCAACTCGGTGTCATAAAAAAAGGTCATTGATGAACCAATAAGTAGCCAGAGCATCTAAGGCCTAAAACACTAAATTTTCAACTAATGGGAACATTAAGGATTTCTTTTTCTTACCTGTCTTCACCAATGCTCTTGATATTTCTTTATATTTTGCATATAAATGATGCAAATGACCTTAACCACAATTTACATTAACAAAATTGATTGGTTGGTAACATAGTCCTATCAAGTTTAGAAGGCATTAAACGCTGCAACAAGCATAACTAAAACTCATAATCAGCAAAGCAGAAATATAAAGGAGTCGGAATAGCTCTAACAGATACAAAAATTCAGCAATTTATACCTGAAACAGGATTTGCTGAAGCACGATCAAGACAACCTAACAGGATAGTCTATATGCAATCAGAATCTTGGTAACAAAAAATGATGATAATCAAGCATGCAACAGTATATAATTTCATTCTGAACTAAACCAAGCATCCTCATGCAACATATATTCAATGTAGATGTCTCCCATTAAGAGCCACAGTAGCTTGCATAAGAAATTCTATCATGAGAAGTTTTTTGCTCTCAAGGAGCTAAGGATAATTATGCAAGCTTCCTTTCATTAGATAGTGTATTGCTGTAAAAGGGTTGGGTGGACATGCTAATATTCTAGATTTTTTTCTTCTTTTTTCCTTTTCTTTGGGATAAAGATAGTGATGAAGATGAGATTCAGTCCTACTATCTAGTATCAAGATTTTTATCATATAAATTAGCTGGAAAAAATAGATTAAAACTGTACAGAAATTGGTAAAAATATCAACAATCCCAACTCACATTACTATTTTGATCTTTCATGCAAATAGTCTTTAAAAAGTAGGCTTTTTGGTTTTTTTTCAATAAAATATCCAATGCTCTGAAGAACAGGAGTTTCAAGAAAATAGAAGAAAAAGGTTTAAAATATAATAATATGCATCATTAACATAGGCAAATACGGAAATAGTAGCAAAAGAACAGAAAAATCAGACTAACATATAAACAAATCTAATGGGAGATCCATAAACCAACATGATATAGACAATCTCGTGGGGCTGTATGACAGAATATGCTAATTTAACATCTACAACTTTTTTTCTGCTGATTCTATTTAGACAGTGAGATCGGTTGCTAATGCAATAAAGCCAAAATGTAATTTTTCAATAATTGCTATCGTTGAGTGGACCTGCATATGGGCATAAGATAAAATTCTCTCAGACTTCTACCAATTCTTTAACTGAAAGTTAGGTTGTGAACAAATTTATTATGAGGTATGCTGTAGCAGCAGTTACCTAAACAGAAATCGCAAAACTGATGCTACATGATCTTTTCCTTATTCCTGGTGGCTTCTCAATACGTGGTACTGTATTAATTTCAGATTAGCATATGCAATGGTAGAATTTTTAGTCAAAGTTCATAAGATATCAATAGTATTAAGAAACATCACGACCAAATCAGACCATGGTCAAGCAACAGTTACTATTAGACAAAAATACTAGACCAACTATCTAGAGTGCCAGCATGAAACTAAAATATGTGCAAATTGATGCTTGTCCAATCTATATATGCATATTAAGAGCAGATTCAATAAATAATATTCTCATTTTCAGGTTATGGCATAAATTGCTGAAACACCATCAAGAATACCATTGAGACAACATGCATATACCTGAGTCAAGGTGGATGTTTTCTTGCTAAGCATTGCATCAAATGTCAAAGAATCTCTGCTGCTAGACCCCAAATCTGAACTTGTTCTACTTCTCTTTGAAAGCACGCCTTTAGATTTCAGGGCCTCAGCTGCTTGTTCACACATCTAGGTGAAGTAATAACATAGATTTAGATCCAAAAGCAACCAAATTTAAATAAAAGAAGCTTTTGTTTGGAACCACAGAGCATAAATTCAAACTTCCAAACTGCATTCTCAGGATTTGTTCACATCTAGAATGGAAGGTAAAAAAGGTTAACAAAGTTTTGAATCTGGTATTATAAATCATGGCAGCCACGCTAATGCAATTTAGTCACGATACAAAGTTCCATTTCTCAGAAATCTATTTAATCTCTTAGCTTGATACTATATTGAAAGATAATAGCATAAGCAAAAAATGCATATACCAAGTCATCAGTAAGAAGCAGCAAATTTTATTGTAGTGATAAAGAGACAACTTAAGTAACAATGTAAATATTTGGAACCTTTTGTTTTTGCTTGAAGGACAAATTTCATGTTGCCATAATTATCACATAACCTGATTAGCTTGTGAACTACTATTGGTACTTCCAAGCAGCATTTGATAATTTGCAAGAAAGTACAGGAAGTGGAAAAAACAGACTGGTGCACCTGAACAATAGGATCAAGTAAAGCAGTAATCACAGGATCAAAATCTGGCTTTTTGACAGAAGCAGGAACCATCATGCTGTTGTCGGTGTCAATAAGATCAAGCAACAAAGAAACTCCTTCTCGCACTGCTGGCGGTGGAGATAAATCAACCGCAACCAGTGGAGGGTACCTTAAAAGTTTCTCTCCACGACCCTTAAGAATGTTGAAGAAAGTTTGCTGAGCAGCATCCTTGAGTAACCAAAGTGTATTGCAAAGAGCTGTCTCTCTTCCAAGCAAGTCTGAAATCTAGTAGAAGAAAGAACTCAAGAAGGAAATAACCATGAGTGTACTTAGTAACCAAAAACTTACAGTGTGACTGTAGAACTCCAATGTGTTACTCAATTTATAGGAAATAATAAGGCTAGGCTGAGACTGCAAAACTTGCTCAACTCTTATTTTGAATGGTCTACATGCCCCTTCAAATATTCTATCCAGAACAAAGGTAATCTCCGGCTCAAATTTTGTATGATCACTTTCAGAACTTTTGGAAAAGTGATGGACAATAGAATCTGCGTCACTATTAGCATCGGTGTCGAGTAAGACAAGTACAAGTTCTCTTTCAGATGCCAAAGCCTTCCCACAGAAAAAATAACAACATTTTAGAAAAATAGGTATTGCTAAAATCTGTTAGTTCCATTATCAAATGCTAGATAAAATGAGAAACATCCATTGAACTCAAATTAAATGGTCAACATTCATGATCAAAAGAAGCATACACAAAGGTTGCTATAAATTATCGACTGTCCACCAATATCCTACTTTAATATAGTTGAGATTTAGAAGATTCAAACCTGATGAAGCCATCCTAACATGTCACCAACATAACGTAAAGGATCATGTGCATGCACTTCAATAGGTCTTGGCAGCCCTCCGGGTCCTCCTCGTGTAAGGGCACTTATAAATCGTCTGAACAGTGCATGATGCCTCATATTTGCAATCTAGTGGCAGAGGCATTGTAAACATTTAAATAGAATCCAGAAAAAGAAACAATAAGAAGCCAGAGACAAATTCTCACCTCTTCTGCACAGTACTTGAAAAGAACAGGCCTTTCTTTAAGGCAACAAATAGCTGTCTTTAAAAGATCACTAACTTCAGGATTATCAGTATCACCCAATTTCTTACACTCAGCTTGAACCCACCTGCATATGTAATAATAATCAGATAAAGATTATTTTCTGTCAGTCGAGGAACACTTATGCATTTGAATTTCATGTGTATCCCTGTCTAAAATTGATCCTTTTGACATCTTTAATTTGTTTCCTTTTCTAACTAAAATTTCATTACCTATGAAAACAATTATTCAGGAAGCCGAACTGAAAATTTTGCAGCTGAGCATTTTGAAAGTGTATGCACAAGGATGCTCACATGCATTCTTTAATCACAGCATCTATACATATAAAAGACGTCATTTCCAGCTCATCCATCCTCGAGTCTTATCAGACTTTGGTACGCATGGTAACCAACCAAAATGGTATTTCTGATTATATTTAAGCATGATTTGGAAGTTCTATATGTTTGGCTAAGAATATAACAGAAGGCATATCACCTGCATAGTCTCTCATAGGCTCCTTCTTGGTAAACAGACATCATATCCATTAGCTCCAATCCAGCACGCTGCATAAAACAGATATTCCATAAGTTCTGAGCCCAATAAAAAGAACAGGATATCAGGATTATATTGTCCTTTAAATCAGAGTAATTCATCACTAGAACCCAAATAGGAAAAAGCAACATTGATTCTTTCTGTTGGTTGAAATCAATAGTAATAGTATTTTAATTCCCATTGTTGGGTGAATTATAATCTGATTCCTTCTTCAAGAGATTTGGTATTCTTAACCACATTGGTCAGTTTTAATTATAGTTCCTATGATGGTGATGAAAAATTTTCTTAATGAAAACAAAATATCTTTACTTATGTATTAAAAATCAACTCTAAGTACTCCTTTTAAAGTCTTATTATACCTATCACTGTAAGTAGATTTATTGCATGTAACACATAATTTGTTATAACAATATAATAATTAATAGTACTTTGGTAAATATTTTAATATAAAATTTAAAATAACGAAAAATAAATAACCATAACTTAGTTTAGATATTATCTGATATAGAAAATAGGTTATTGGAATTGAAATAGGTACATCTTTATATACTTATATCTAAGTATATTTGATGATACATGTACTTATTAACTTACATCAACATGCAACGTTTGCAAAACTGTACCATACCACTTGGTACGAACAGTACATACCGGTTCGCTAGCAGATCGGTACATGAACCGCCCACTACCAGGCGGTATCAGCCCTTTGGCCCTGTATTGAGTTGGAATTAGGCTCGCGTGATGGGGGCAGAGTGTTGAACCTCAGATTTTGACGATGAAATCAATTGATAAATAATCTAATCCATATGTTGAGATAAGTGTTGCAGGATTAATTACGATAATGGATAAGGCATAAAACAGATATTGGGCCGGAGTCAAAGATCGGATGATATGTCGAAGATTCGAACGATATGCCGGAAGCTCACCGAGAGTTCGTTGGGAGTTCGCTGAGAGTTCGCCGGAGTTCGCCAAGAGTTCATCAGGAGTTCGCCAAAAGCATGCCGAAAAGTTCACCGGAAGTTCGTCGAGACTTCGTCGGAAGAACAATTGACATACCGGACAAAAATTGCTTAGTTAATGCCTTAATTGTCGTAGTTAGAACCAAGATTGAGTTAGGATTGGGAGGTAATCCCACTAACTCAATTAGGGGCCAACTGGGCCCAAAACAGGGCTGAGTTGGGCCAGATAGAAGGCCCACTCGCCCACTTGAAGCCTTGCCAAGCGATGGAACCGCTTGAGGCTCAGCCTCCCAAGTGGTCTGGGTGGTGGTACCACCAGCAGTTAATGCTGTCAGGCGATGATACCGCCAGAGCCCAGTCTCCAAGGCTCTGTCAGGTGGTAGTACCGCCAGACTGGGTGGTGCTACTGCCTAGTGTTAGAATACCTAGCGGTGGTACCGCCAGTACTCCGGAAATCCGAGATGAGACACTTTTTTGCTCCGATTTTGAAGTCATTGGGGCCTATAAATACCCCACTCCTTTATGCATGAAAGAGTAATTAAAAGAGCAGAAAAATGTGAAAAAACCTTTAGGTGTTGGGGTGTAAAAATATTGTAAAAGTGCTAAGGGTCCTCCTCCTCTTTCTTCAACTTTATAATCATTAGAGAAGAGGTGTGAGGCTTATAAGGGTTGTCTCCTAAACCCGTGAAAAGGAGAAGAGCTTTGTAAAAAGGTGGTTGGTCTTCGCCTATTGAAGGAAGTCCATTAGTGGACACTGGTGACCTCGACAGAGGAGGGATCGGAAGTGGACGTAGGTCACAACGACCGAACCACTATAAATCCGGTGTGTTCTTTCCTTACTGCTTTCTTTCATTACTTATCTGTACTCCACGCTTTACATTTACTAAGTCATTACTTTCCGATATGGGCTTTGACGAAACAATTTTGTCAAACGAAACTTTCCAAATCAACGTAATTTTTATCGCTTGCACTAGCCAAAAGATCAAGGTGAGTGGACCATGGAAAATAGTTGTATTAGCCAAAGTTTATAATATTGCTCGGTATGGTTTGGTACAGACGATATTACGGGTGCTGGTTTTCAGTCTTTTTTTTTTTAACTCTCTATAAACGGGAGGATTGCGTTAGGTCAATGCCGATCCCAAGCTTGGATAAAAAATGTGGAGGGTTACGTTAGGTCACCGAAAACTAGTTTAAAACAATTTCAGATCTCATGGACATGAATTTTAACCGATTTTAGTATAAAGCTAGATCATCACTCGGAAGTGACGCGAGACATTTTCATGACTATATGTCCCGAATTACAAATGATGGACTAGGAGGTCGCCCGAAAGCGGCCCAACAAATTGGCGCTTGGATGTGGTACCAAGTAGGCAAGAGTTCTGTCATTGTTTTCGACCAATGAGAGTAAAGAAGTTAGTCCAAGATTAGAGGGTTAGGTTAGTAACTTGAAATATAAGAACACTTTCAGGGATGGAATTATAATTGGTAGACACTATGATAAAAAAAAAGAATAAATATTATTTACTTACAAGAGACTCAGTAGGTAAGGGAAAAATCTAGAGAGATTGATAGTACTGGATTTAAGATTTGGTATACTAAAAAAGTTCAGCACAGAAGTGATGTAAGAATTGTTGTTCATAAGGATTTGAAAAACAATATTGTAGATGTAAAAAGATTTAGAGATAAAATTATAGTTCTAAAATTTGTAAAACGACAAGATGTTATGAATATCATTAGTGCTAATGCCCCTCGAGTCGAATTTGATGATCAAACAAAAAGAGAATTTTGGGAAAGCTTAGATGATATCATTCAAGGAATACCTATAACTGAAAACCTTATAATTGAAAGAGATTTGAATAGTTATGTAGGGAAAATATATAGTGAATATAAAGGGGTGCACAAGGGCTTTAGTTATGGGGAGAGAAATGAAGATGGTATGATTTTAGATTTTGCAACTTCACATAATCTTATAATTATAAATACTCACTTTAAGAAGAGAGATAAACATTTGATTACTTATAAGAGTGGTCACAACTATAATCAAATAAACTTTTTTCTCACTAGAAAGGTAGATAAAGTTATTTATAAGAATTATAAAAATTATACTTGGCGAAATTTTGATGAATCAACATAGGTTGATGGTATTAGATATTTAGTATAGAAAATGAAAGAAGAAAATAATAAAAAAATTTACTAGGACTAGATGATAAAATTTTAAAGATGATAATATAAAGACTTTTAAGAATAGGATGGAAAGGGAGGCAAATTGGAACTTAGACGAGGATAATATTAATATTATTTAGACTATGATGACTAATATAATTAGGAGCTTAACAAAGGAGATTCTTGGTGAAATTAAAGGTAAAGGTGTAATCTTAAGAGAGAGTTGATAATGGTGCGAGAAAGTTCAAAAAGTAATTTTTACTAAAAGATCATGTCTTAAAGATTGATAAAATTATAAAAATGAGAAACAATTTAAAATATATAAAGAATCTAAAAAAGAGACTAAAAAGTGGTTAGTATGACACAATATAAAGCTTATGATAATTTTTATAATAAATCAGGTACTAAACATGATGAAGAAGATATATATTGAATTGCTAAAGCTAGGAAAAGAAAGTGTAAGAATTTAAATAATATTAGATGCATTAAAGACGAAGATCAAAGAATACTTATTAATGATAATGAGATTAAGAAAAGATAGAAAAATTATTTTTATAAATTATTTAATGAATATTCGACATAACTCTTAGATTTAATGATAAATAATAATTACAGATTTGTTCGTAAAATTAGAGCTAGTGAAATAAAAGATGCATTGAAAAATATAAAAATAGTTAAAGAGTGAGACCAGATGGTATTCCAATTGAGGTATGAAAAAGTTTATGGGGCAAGAGAGTAGTTTGATTAACCAACTTATATAACAAAATCATGAGATTCAAAAAGATGCCTAATGAATAAAAGAAAAAATTTTCAGTACCAATTTATAAGCATAAGGGTGACAAATAAAATTGTTCAAATTATAAAAGAATTAAGATCATGAACCATATTATGAAACTTTAAAAAAAAGTTATCAAAAGTAGGACAAGGCCTGAAACAAATATATTTGAAAATTAATTTGATTTTATGCTTGGAAGATTAATTTTAGTAGCTATTTATTTATTAAGACAATTAATGAAAATTATATGAAGTAAAAGAAAGATTTGTACATGATTTTTATTGACTTAGAAAAAGCCTATGAAAGGGTTCCTAAAGATTTATTATGGTAGGTTTTAGAAAAGGAAGATGTATTCACTAATTTTATTGATGTTATTAAAGATATATATGATAATGTAACTACTAATGTTAGAACCATAAGGGGGCATATCTAGTAAGTTTCCTATTAACATAGGATTACATCAAGGAACCATATTAAGTCCTTACCTTTTTACATTGATAATGGATGAACTTACTAATCACTTACATGATAGACTTCCCTGGTATATGTTATTTGCTGATGATATTTTCTTAGTTGATGAGAATTTAAGTGAAATTAATTATAAACTTAAGCTATGGAGGTAATCATTAGAAACTAAAGGTTTTAGATTAAGTAAAACAAAAAATAAATATATGAGATGTAATTTTAGTAATTCTAGAAATAAATAGAATATAGTTAAGTTGGATAGACAAAAAGCCCCTTTAAGTAAGATATTTAGATATCTTGGATCAATTATTCAACAAGATGGATAGATCAATAAAGATATTATTCACAAAGTAAAAATAAAATAGTTAAAATGATGAGGGGCGTCGAGAGTCTTGTGATCATCAGATACTTTTGAGATTAAAAGGAAGATTTTATAAGCTGGTTGTGAGACTAATAATGTTTTATGGATCCAAATGTTGGGATATTAAGAAACTATATATACAAAAAGTTCATTTAGCTTTGGCCTATGATGGTCCTTGAATAACATAATGATGGTTTGCAAGGATGTGAATGATAGTCAACAATGATAGTGGTGGGAGGCAATAGGAGTTGGTGGATAATGATGTTGATGAACACCAACTAAGCAATG